TGTATGTATGTATGTATGTATGTATTATCAATGTCACGAAAATGGTGTTTGTAGAAACGGTTTTGACGGTTTCCGACTGTATCATGATAGTACGATTTGGGATAGTCTGAAACGGTCTCGACGGTTTCATACTATAACATGCCGGGGCCTTTTTCAGAGACGGTCTCAGACGGTCTCAGACGGTCTCAGACTATATCCGTTTTTTCGACTTTTTTGGATGGTTTGCGACGGTTTCTGACCCTAATGACTTTTACAGTAGGAAACGGTCTCGACGGTTTCAGCACACATTTTTTTTGCTACCATGGGTCATCATATTTTTTGATGTTAAAATTTAAAAACATGATGTAAATCATAAAATCATGAGAAATATGATATATAGAATATATTGTGAATACTTACAATCAAAATTCATACGGAATGCGTGATGGCGTTTTGAAATTTCAGAATCCAGATTCAATGAGAAATGAGGATAGTGAAGCATACATGATGAGGATGTTACATGAGGTTCAAGAAAGAAGATTAATCAATTGAGGAATGACGATTTCATGAGGTTCTAGAATGAAGATTAAATGAGGGATGGGGATTTGGTGAGATTCTAGGCAAGAGAATTCAATGAGGGAGGATTCAATGAGGGACTAAGATTTGGTGAGAGAACGAGGATTGGTGAGGTTCCAGACTGAGGATTAAATGAAGAATCAGGATTTGGTGAGATTCCAAAATCAGGACTAAATGAGGAATGAGGATTTGGTGAGGTTCCGGAAAAATGAGGAATGAGGATTGGGCGAAGTTCCAAACTGAGGATTAAGTGAGGATTAAAGCAGGAAACCAAAATATGATGCTTTCCAGTCTGCGGCTCGCAGAAAATCTCATAAAGCTAGGCTTTAAGGCTGAAGGAGAGCTGGAGACCGTCTCAGACCGTCTGAGACCGTCTCTGGGAGCCTCGTTTCAATAGAAATCAGAAAACATGCAACATACAGGAATCACAGGAATATAATGAAATTGCCATGATCTATGCTGAAACCCTGGGGCTGTATAGAATCAGGGGGCTTGTGAAACTTGCTAGGTTTCATCGAAACCAAACCGCTCATCAGGGGCGGTGGGCTGGGCCAATGCCATGAAACAACGCACACACACACGCACACATATATATATATTTAACTATTTATTTATTTATTTATATATATTGGCTGAAGGGTTAAGGTTTCCAGGGTCAAGATTTAGAATGTTGCTGAGTAAATATCTGCACATTCCAGATGGAAGTGATTTACATCTTGGCCCGAATGCGATACCCCATCTCATGTATCCAGAAACTCGTTTATTTTTCACAAACCCCGAAATTGACATGAACCTATGAATGGACATGAATCAACATAAGCACTGAACACACATCATACAGTCGCGCAAGGCCTACAAACTGCAACATCAGGCAATCCCAAAGAACAACATTTAATAAACAATAGAATCATACGTCATATCATTTCATCGTATCAAAGAATCATATATCATAGAATATGGACCATAGGTCACAAATCACATCAAAGACTGTTATATATAACTATATAATTATAGTCGTAGTTAGAACAATAGTTATAGTTATCTATAGTCTTTAAATTCTAACCTATCTTTAACATTGATACGACTGACTCATTTGTCACATGATTATGATATGATATAACATGAACAACATGATATAATTCATGATATGATATATGGCTCTGATATGGCATATGACAAGGTGACATGACACGACATGTCAAATATCACTTATCACACCTCAACCGACAGAAGCAGGTTGGCTTTATGTGTCTGTGGTCCAAATAATAGTGTGTCATGACACCAGGTGATGATGTATATGTGGCTTCAATTTGTTTTACGCCCCATTGATTTTCCGAATTGGCTTGTGATATTCAGAAGGAGATGAATAAATCAAAATTCAATGGCCCGAAGGCTAGACTTGGAAGACCGTTTTTTTTTCAATAATTATGTTATTTATTTACTGAATATATTATTCAAATATTGTTTTATACATTGTGTAACAAGTGACATATAAATATCCAGACAACATTGGCAAGATTTTTCACAATATAGTTTCTGAAATTTCAATATAGTTTCTATATAGTTTCAGCTAATATACTTATAGGTTCTGAAATTCCAAAGTGTATACGTCAGAAACTAGCTGATAAAGAGGCCATACCGGGCCCTAAATAATACTGTTTAATATTGTTTGATGATCCAGTACAAATCCACTATAAATCCAAACCATAGTTTTGAACAACAACAGTTTGGATGGTTTATGACTGTGTTAAAACTTGGTTCTTTGATGATCATAGTACTATCATAACAACAAATAGTAATAATGATAGTAATATGATTAGTAAATATGGTTATAATCATGAATCATATTGTTATCATTGTCCTAGTAATAATAATCATAGTAATTAATAGTAATGTAATAGTAATAAACATCAGTAATAACAATCATCATCATAGTATCATAGTATTTTCTAGGTGGTATGTTTACCATTCCCAGTCATGGGTGGTTTATGAGATTGTTTTACCCGCATGAGTTGATCCCCTGCGAAGTTTGTTGAAGTTTTGCTTGAGGGATCTTGGTGTAAAATTGCTGTAGAACCAATCAATAATATTGATATCACTGATGATCATGATTGGCAACTGGTTGTTCTTGCGGGTTAGTTCACCCACCGAAAAAAGGAGGATACGCTCAGGAAATGGTGGTTTCTTTTTGCAACGAGGCAATCAGGATAGCTGTTCCACGAATCAAAAATGCTCAAGGGACGCATCAAAATGATATCTCAAAATGTAACATGTCCCGATATGTTCAAAAATGTTCAACATGTTCAACGAGATATAGACCTATGTACAGATCAATGGACCTCCATCGAAGTGCTAGTCCAATGAAACATCATGGAACCATATCTTTTGTGTTTCAAGTCGGATGTGAAACCAGCCTGGCTCCTTGAGCCCCCCAAATATATGAGTCATTTGGCATCGCCACCATTGGCCACTGGCCGCACCTTCCACAGGCGGATCAGGGGCTTCACGCTCCTCCTGGTGGCAGATGTTTTGTGAACGAAGGTGGCAATGGAAAGTCCATTCGAAAAATGGAGATTTATAGCTGGAAACATCGTGTATACAAAGATTATCGGAGGGTAATCCATTTTGAGTGGTAGATAATCCACTCATTGAGGCACCAGAGAGTAATCGCAGATCATGACCCCGTAAACCCGTATTAGTCCCCTTTGAAAGCTCTTAGATGTTGATTTTCCCCGGGACAGGAACTATGACAAAGCATGACAAGGCACAATACAGGTTTAGATTCTTGCCCCTCGAAGAATGAAAGTTTACCCGCTTGAGTTCTGTCCTCACTCCTGATTGCCTACGGTGTCTGGAGATGTCATGAATGTCACAAAACCCCAGAGATTCCATACAAAGATCATGTAATTTGGGGGTGGAAATGCCAATATTAGTCCATCTCGTGTGATGTCAAGCGAATGTCCCACAAATCGACATGCTTCAACCACTCAAAACTCCTGTGAGAGATCGACATAGCACATCTAGCTCCATGTTCAAACAAAATGTCTTCTGCATCAGTCGATGTTTCACTTAGCTTGGGTGGAAAACAGAAACATTACGGACACCCAAAAACAAACATGCCTCAGAAGAGCAGTTCCTTGCCCCTAATACTGAATAGCCCCTAGAAGCCCTGGTTCAGTCTTGGATCTGTCCAATTTGAGCGCCCATATGGGGTGTATCTAACACAATCTTTAACAGGCTCGAGGGATGGAAGTATGGGTTTCTGTGAAAATATTGAGAAGCCGCCCAAGACCCACTGGTTTTGAACCTTGCTCCATTCATGGGTTGAGGTTCAGCACACTTCGAAAGGAAAACGTTGCCAGAACGGATGTTCACCAGCCCAAATCGATTTTTCTTTTTCAGTTTTAATCATGGTTTAATCTTCTGATATGGAGAAATCAAATAGACCCCGAAAAGATCTGCAGTTTTGCCATCGATTTGGAACTGAAACGATTCAAATGGGATAAACCAATTGGAGATGATCAAGATTCCAGATTTTACCGTTGGATTTTAGGGCTTTCCAGACTTCTCCCAGTGTCCGTCGTAAAGGCCATCTGGAAGTCGTCGCGGTTCTGGGCCCAGAAGGGATTCAATGCACCCGCATCGGCACCAAAGTTCTAGGTGGAAATGCTAACCTACGTGGTGGCTCACTTATTAAGTAGGTTGTATGATAATATGGCTTTATAAGATTTTATAAACACTTACAACTGGGCTTATCATCTACTTCGTAAGTGGGATGAAAATGATGAAACACATGTTGTGCCCCGTTGGAGAAAACGAGGAAAGTCCCTAAACCCTACACCGACATGGCTGGAAAAACCCCCATGTTGGATGATTTTCCCCGCGGGCCATGTGACTGATGACACCATGGTAAATTCCGGCAACTTTGAAGCTCCTATTCTGGTGCTCACAATCAAGCACAAAAGGAAATCCAAATGGGGCCATTGTGCATTTGGAGTTAACATCCATGCAGTTTTGTAGAACCATTTTCAATGGCAATGTGTTTGCCGCTACATTTTCCTTCAAGGGCCCTTGAGCTACCCCAGGCCGCGACAACTTGGCAGGTGGAAAAACGACATACCGAGGTGCGAGTGAGACTTTGGGAGCTCATCTTGATTTCACATTGGTAGCGGGGCGTCAAGATCTTTGGGGCCACCGCCTACTACCTTTCTTTTTCTTGGTGGTTGAGGCGGAAACGATTAGGGTGACCGTGAATTTGATCTTTTCTGTGACCAAGGGTTACCAAAATGCCGCCAGGTGATCAAACCAATGGTCCAACCTCTGGAGCAACGGCAGGAACCTACTCCAAGGGTTTGGACAGTGGATTGGCCAAAACGGCCCCCAATGCAGAAGGTTTGAATCAGAGAACATACAGAAGCTATAGACGTAGACTGCTGCTGTTTTCCATGCAATGTCAGAGGCGAGGACGTGAGACAGCAGTCGAAGGTGCTTTCTTAGCCACAAGTTTGTTGTGTGATGCGGCTTGGGAGGCAACAGAGCAGTTAGATCTGAAAGAGATCGAGGGTGCTGCGCAGCCTTTTGAGCCGCTATTCAAGCTGTTGGATGGATTGTATCAGTATGAGGACATGGTAGAGGTGCCCAACAGATGTGAGGAATTTTTCCAGGAGTTTTCACGCAGCAAAGGCGAAGAGATGCAAGGCTATTTGATCAGGCATGCCACCATGATGAAGAAGATGAAAGAGGTGAAGGTGGAGATACCACCTTTGTTGGCAGGCTGGCACTTGATGACAAGGGCTGGCATTCCGAAATGGACACATGTCCAGATCAAAGCACTTTGCTCAGGAGATCTGGCGTATGACAAGGTGTCGAACGCGCTCATGAAGATGTTCGGCGCTGATCACAAGCCGAATCCGAAAGACTTGGTCAGGTCAGGCAAGGAGGAGAACTTCTATGCCGAGTTTGATGATGAGGGTGCGTACGATCATGAGGATGAGTATGCAGCCGAATGGGACGATGCGTTCTATGAAGAGGAAGATGCATATTATGAAGAGGACGAAGATGATGTCGTCCCATCAGACTTGGAGCTGGCGGCTGACCAGACGGAGGAGGCTTACATCAGCTACGTGGAGTCCAGGCGAAGGATGAAAGAGCTGGCACTGAACAGGGGCTTCTATCCCATCGTAGCTCTTGGTCCAGATGTGATTGGTGGACGTGGAAAAGGAGATGGAAGAAGTTCAAAAGGAAAAGGCAAAGGGAAAGGATTCAAAGGCAAAGGAAAGAGCAAGGGTCCACCTATGAGAAGAACGCCCATGAACAGGAGACCTATGTCGGGATTGCGGCGTCCAACGAGTGCAGCGCCCAGCAGTTCAGGTGCAAGTGCTCCTGACATCAAGTCAACGTTGAGCGGATCCACAGCAAGTCATGGACCAAGGTTCAAGAGGTACCGCATGGCGAGCAATGGAGTCAAGGAGGTGCCCGAAGAGAGCATTTCGATGGTCGAGGAAGAGCTCAAGGTGGAAGAATGCTTGTACTCAGACAGTGGTGCAGGCATGGCGATCATCGATTCAGGCGCAACTCGAACCATTGCAGGTGAAGAAGTTTGGAAAGGATGGATTGAAGAAGCAAGCCGACGAGAGTTGGGGCTGAATGTCAGCACACATCAAGTCATTCGTGACTTCAAGTTTGGCGATGGTGGTGTAGCACGATCGCACTATGAGGTGGAATTTGACGCGGGCATCCGCGGACAAGTCAAGAGGATCAGAGCTTCGATCATTGCAGGTCGAACACCCTTTTTGTTGGCGAGACCGACCTTGGAAGAGCTGGGCATGAAGCAGGACTTTGGCACAGGAGAAGTGAGTGTGGCAGGGTCAAAATGGTTCCAGCCAGAACGAGGTCACAAAGGTCACTACATGCTGAACTTGTTCGACTACAAGGAGGAAGATGACGAGAATTGGGTGCATTGCGTCTCTGAGGAAGGCACAAAGTTTTGGGATGATGAGCGAAACCCCGCATGGATGATCGAGCCAGTCATGGAGAAAGAAGTGGGGCTGGTGGATGAAGAGGATCATCCAGGCGAACTTGAGATTGTCGATGCAGAGGTCATGAACATCATCGACAAGACTGTCAATGCAGCGTTGAAAGGCCGTGAGCTGAAATTTTGGGAAGTTTATGTGGATCAGGGAAGCCTGGCATCACATATCGCCAGAAAATACCCTGATGTGACAGTCTCCACTTTCAGTTTGCCAGAGTGGGACTTCAGCCGTGAGGATGTACGGTTGAGGTTCAATCAGCTCATCATTGAAGAGAAGCCACACTTCATATGGTACGCTCCACCTTGCACAAAATGGAGCCCAATGCAGAGAATTAACGTGAAGTGCGAGGAGGATGCAGAGAAGTTGGAGGCACAGCGACATGCAGAAGAGAAGAGTCATTTGGAGATGGTTTCAAATGGTTTTGAGGAATGCAAGGCAATCGATGCCGCAGCAGCGATGGAGCATCCAGACCCTGCGGAATCTTGGAAGACGCAGACCATGGAAGCCATGAAGGGATACTATGAAGCAGTAGTCCATAGGTGCCAGACTGGTTTGGTCTACGTTCACAACGGAAGAGTTGTGGGCAAAGTCAGAAAGAGAACCAGAATCAGAACCAATTCGCTGAGGCTTGCAGAGGCAATGTGCATCGAGTGCCGGTGCATAGAGCCACATGTCCAAATGATTGGGAAGTCAGCTGCCTTGAAACAGATGCAGAACTACGAGGCTGGTTTTGTCGCTGTGGCAGCACCAGAGATCTATGCTGAGATGGAGAACATGTGGAGAAAGAGACAGATTGTAGAAATCATGGTGGCTGAAGAGATGGATGTGGAAGCAGCAATGCAAGAGAGCGATGCAGTGAAGGAGGAGGACTGGAAGAATGCCAAGGTCAACACGACTACAGCCAAAAGGATTGTTGCCAAGTTGCACAGACAGCTTGGCCATCCAAACAATGAGAAGTTGGTCAGGGCGTTGAAAGACGCCAAGCTTGATGAGGCGGTTGTGCAACAGGCCAAGGCATACAAGTGTGACATTTGCGAGTCACACAAGACAAAGCCGTTGGAGAAACCAGCAGCTTTGAAGCAGTCGTCCTACTTCAATGAGGTTATTGAGATGGACACCTTCCACATCAGGTGGGGTGATGTCAAACACAAAGTTTTGGCCATCATTGACACTTACTCTCACTTTGAGACCAATGCCATCATCCAAAGCGAGTCCATGGAGGAAGAGATTGACATTTTGAAGAAGCAGTGGATTGCTTGGGCTGGCAGACCAAAGGTCATCAAGGCAGATTCCTCAGGCGCTCACATGTCCGAGTTCTTTCAAAGTTGGTGTGATGAGCGGGGCATCCGTTTGATGCTCATTCCAAAGGAGGCTCACCATCAGCTAGGCCTCGTTGAGCGACTGCATGCCGTCCGACGACAGCAGTTGATAAAAATGAAAGATGAAAAGACGGACCTCACCATTGAGGATGCAGTCCTTCATGCATGCGAGCAAAGGAATCGCTTGAGAACAGTCCATGGTGCTTCCCCTTCAGCTTTGGTGTTTGGGCACACGCCCAATCAGTCCGGCATCTCAGATGAGCCGCATGGTGTTCGTCCAGACGGACCTCCGCGTCAGATGGAGGACAACGAAGTCAGAATCCTGGCTGCCAAGGCCTTCTATGCAGCCAACAATAGCACAAAAGTGCGACGCGCCCTTCTGGCGCGTAGTCGTGCCGAGCACGAAGTCCTGGAAGTTGGGGACTATGCCTATTACTGGCGCACTGGCAATGACAAGTTGGAGCACTCCCGATGGCGTGGACCTGCACTCATTTGCGCCATTGAAAGTCGTGAGACAGCTGAAGGGTCACGTCGACCCACTGTCTATTGGCTTGCCCATGGCGCTTCTTTGGTGCGGTCTGCCCCAGAACATGTCAGATTGGAGGTGAGCAGTGAGCGCGCTGCCCGTTTGGAAACTATGCCACAAACAGCCACCAGATTGCCCTTACATCAGCAACTCACTCAGGCTCTTCAACCAGTCCGAGGTCCCATTCGATTTTTAGACTTGGGGCCCGGCCCACTCAATTCTAACGCAAGAGGTGTGGGATCTGCTGGCGTCTCGGGTCTGGAGGAGAGACCTGATGAGGACACTGCCCATCTCCGTGGCGTGGACGTGGTCCCCACGGGGGCGGGATCTGTGGCCTCCCCGGAGAGGCCGGGTGATCAAGCTGCCCAACCCTCAAAGCGTAAGAAGAAAGAATCACTCATGCAGAAACAACAGCAAAAGAGTGAGGAGCGACAAGAGCAGAATGAAGTGAAGAAGTCGGCGCTGAAAGCAGAGACAGAGACACAGTTGCAAGAGGCACAACAAGAGGATGTGAAAGCGGCTGAGCGAGATCAAGCCGCCAATGAGGAAGGGCTGCCCCAGCAGGTGCAGTCGAAAGAAGAAACAAGTGAAAGACGTAGGGACAGATCACGGAGCCCCGTGCCGATCGACATCATCAGAAGGTCGCATGAGGCCGCCAGAGTCTTGGATGGTTTGCCGAGAAAGTCAAAGGCGACAGAGGAGCAACTCAGAAAAGGGAACCAGTGGACAGAGGGCCTTGAAGATGAGGAGATGTTGGCTGAGGAGTTTGATGAGAAGAGGTTGACGGAGGAGCAGAGAAGGATGTTTGATGAAGCAAAGGACAAGGCATTGATGGTTTGGATTGAGAACTCAGCTTGGAAGGCAGTTCAAGAGAGCGAGGCCAGAGAAGGTGAAGTTGTTCCAGCCAGGTTTTTGCAAAGATGGAAGAAGACTGAGGAAGGCGAAAAGGCAAATGCGAGAGTGATCATCCAAGGCTTCAAGCATCGAGATGTTTTGGAGCAGAAGTTGGAGACAGACTCTCCAACGCTTGCGCGACAGAGCAGGATGTTGATCTACGTCTTGGCAGTGCACATGCGCTGGAAATTGTTCAGCGCGGATGTGAAAAGTGCATTCATGCAGGCAGACAGCATAGATGAAACAACCCGCATCTATGTGAAGCCAACAAGTGACATGAGGAGAAGGTTGGAGAGGCTCATGGATTTGAAACCATGGCAGATTTTGAAAGCAACGAAGCCCGCATTTGGAGATGTGCGTGCACCAAGACAGTGGTACACTACCGCAGATGGTGTGGTGACTGAAGATTTGAGGATGCTGCGACACGCACTAGACAAGTGCGTCTATGTGAGCACTCGCATGGCTGTGGCGGAGGATGATGACTTCCGCGTCTTCATGCATGAAGGCCAACGCATGGTGGTTGATGGAGTTCTTGGCATGCATGTGGATGATTTCATCGGCACTGGCGAAGGTGTCGTTGGGGCGCAAGACTTGGAAGGTGAGTACAATGGTGATTTTCCTTCCTTCAGAGACAGGCTTTGTGGTTTGTCGAGGAGGTTCAGGTTTGGATCATGGTCATTTGGGAGCACCATGGAATTTTGTGGCGCTGAAGTGGAACAGAGCTTGGACTATGAGACAGTGCAGATTTCCATGGCAGAATATGTGCGCAAGGTCAAGCCGCTGACCATCGACAAGAACCGGAAAACCATGTCTGGTGACCCATGCACAGCCAATGAGCAGAGGCAGCTACGAGCAATCGTAGGTGCGATGGCGTGGCCTGCCAATCAGTGCTTGCCCCAGATCTCAGCGACGTGCAGCCTCCTTCAGGCATCTGTGGCAAACCCCACAGTGTCGGACTTGAGTGAAGCAAACAAAGGCTTGAGATTCATGAAAGATGTGGGGAAGGACTACAAGCTCCAAATCCACAACCATGGAAGCCTGGAGTCACTTCGCTTTGGTGTCTATGCGGACGCAGCGTGGGCCGTCCGCCCTGATGACACGAGCCAAGGAGGATACATCATTTTCATTGCGTCCAAGGAGGAGATCAACGAAGGCCGAGCCATGAAGCTCTCAGTTTTGGATTGGGCGTCTCGGAAGCTTGCACGCGTCTGTCGGTCGTCATTGGCCGCGGAAGCACAGTCAGCATCCGTGGCAGTTGATGCCTTGGAGTGGTTGAGAATTTGTTGGTCATTGATGCTTTGGCCGACCATCTCCTATGAAGATGATTCGGTGTTGCAAAGCACAGGTGAATCACCGGTGTTGACTGACGCAAAGGCCTTGTTTGACTCGGTGAACAGCCTCACTCAGAACAAGGCGAGCGATCTACGCACATCGATCGAAATCAGCATCATCAGAGATCGTCTGCAAGCCATGATGTCCAAGATGAAATGGGTGAACAGTGGACAGCAATTAGCTGATGGATTGACCAAGAGGCAGGCGAGAGAGCAGTTTGCCTATCTTCTGCAGCGCGGGGTGCACCGCTTGGTGTACGATGAAAGTTTCGTTGCAGACAAGAAGGTTGGAAAAGATGTGAAAGAAAGACAGCATGCAGAGATGGAAAAGTTAGCAAAAGAAATGTTTGAGGGCCATGTTTTTGCGGTTGAGGATGAGAAAAGCGAGCGTGGAAAGTGTGCTTTGAAGGGATGCGAAAAGAAAATTGATTTGACAGAAGGAAAGAACCAGTTTTGCAGCAGGAGACATTATTATTTGAATTTGCACAGAAAACAAAGCTGTGGTGACCCATGGAAAAAGGCAGCAATGCATGCAGTTGCGATCATCGCAGCAGAGTCAGTGACTAGCGCTGAGGCAGCAATCACAGAGAAAGAGGATGAGCAGTTTTGGACATTCACCATGACGTTTGCTGTGATCATCATTTTTGCGTTTATTGGTGCTTTTGGGGTCATCATCAAGATTAAGGGTGTTCTTGTGTATTTCAGTGCAGTCTTGTCAAAGTTCTTTGCATTTTCACGGAATGACATCGCTTTTCAGAATGAGCCAACTCTTGTGAATGATCAGGTTTTTGAAGAGATCTACGCATCACGAAGCCATGGCGCGGCGGTGCGTGTGCGCGATGCTGGAACTGGATCGGCAGAGGCTGAGCCCATGCGTTGCGACGCGAGCGTAGGCAGCAGCGACACTGACCATTCACCCAAGTCAGTGCAGGCAACTGATGGTCCAGATGCAATTCAGTGCAAGCACTTGCGCGTCAACTGGCAAGGGACGAATGGAGTGCAGTGGAAATGGACATGCTTGGATTGTTTGGCATTCCAAGTTGTGAAGAAAGGAGAAGGAGTGAGCAAGCCAGTGCCAGCTGTCTCAGGTGTGAAAGCGCCAATGCGAGATGAGTGGAAGAAGCGAATGGAGAGAATGTTTGATGAGGGCATGATCGTAGACAAAATCATTCAGACACCATTGACGTTTGACCGTCAGGGACACAGACCTGGATGGATGTATGTGAGAGAGGGGGTGCACGGTGCGTTCAAACATTTGAGCGCTTTTCAGGATCGAGTGTGATTGTAGAGACCACGTTTTGCTGTGGTGACGATCCTGGTAGTTTTTCACCACTCTACCACCGATGTGCATTTGGAGTTAACATCCATGCAGTTTTGTAGAACCATTTTCAATGGCAATGTGTTTGCCGCTACATTTTCCTTCAAGGGCCCTTGAGCTACCCCAGGCCGCGACAACTTGGCAGGTGGAAAAACGACATACCGAGGTGCGAGTGAGACTTTGGGAGCTCATCTTGATTTCACAGCCATCATTCTGATACTGAAGATGTTGCTGGTTGCTGCCTCAACGTACATCATCGTACATCCAAGAGACAAAACTGTCTCAACTAACATGAAACCTGGAACTCGGAAAGCATTGATTCCGAAAATCAAATTGTTCCGTTGGAAGCATTTAGGACATACAAATATGATCATGTATGATCTAGATTCAGGATGTCCATCAAACGAATGGTGACGAATACCTTCAACCCCTGGGAGCCCATGGTTGTTCAGGAAGATCTTCCTCCATTGGAGAATCAAAGGACCCACAAATTGGTTGCATTTTCGTACTAATGTTACAACCCAGAATAATCCTTCAGTTTAAGGGTGGTACCAACTTTGGCACTTCATCACTTTTTTTTGGGGGACCCCCTCCAATGAGCCAGGCTTTCTGAGGACATTGAACCATGCATTGGTTTCGATGGTGCCTTCTGCAGGTAAGGGATCACTGGTATGGTGTATTGCGGCAACTTGGCTCTCCATCCAACCACACCTCGGAGGTCGAAAAATTGCCATTTGGGTGTGTCTCAAAAAAATGAGGGGGTTCATCCCGAAATCAGGTTTCAAAACCCCGCGTATTTTACTCGGAAAAGGATGATTTATTCCAAAATCTATTTGGGGACAGCCGGACTTTTTCAAACAAAGCCATTTAAAAGGAGGGGGAACCATCCCCAAGGGCTGATCATGTTGAAACCAGTCCTGGATCCCCAGGAGTGGTTTATGACATGAATAGAAAACCCATGGTTTTTCTTTCTGCCTATGAAAAATCTCTCATTCACCAGACAATTCGAATCACTATTACAAAGGGCTTAGCTTTTGTCTTCGGTGGTTGATGATTTAGAGTAAATTATAATATACCCTAACATAGCCATGGAAAATCACCATTTTTAATAGGTAAACCATCTATAAATGGGTCATTTTCCATGGCTACGTTAAATAACCAGAGTGTATATTTTAATATTTCACTAACCTGAAATAAGGCTCCACGAACTTTCCAAAAAGCCCTGAAAACAGGCTATCTTGGGGATGATTTTCCCTTTATTTTCACCATGATTCCAGGGTTCGGGAGAACAGTGAGGTCGTGATGAAATTTACCCAGATGATTGCTTGACTAACCAGCGATTCGATGTTCGTCCCTAACGACCCAACCCAGGCGTTCGAATCGTCGAAGTTTCATTGGGAATCCCGCAGCTGAAATGTTTTTTGGTGCCTTTTATGGCTTCCCCGTAGCATCATCAACGTTGTGACATTGGCCTTTTCTCATCTCTCAAGTCAGGTCAGTCATTATTTCTGGTGAAGCAGCATTCTGATCTGCCCTTTCTCAATGGGAATTCCAGGATCCTAAATTGGAGGTACGTTAGTACCATATTTCAGGCCATATTTTCTGGGGATATTCCCTGAAATTTCGGCCTAAAAAATAGGCCTGACAATATAGTAGGTACCTCCAATCAATCGGATCCTGGAATGGCCATTGATACAATCATCCAACCGTACTGACTGTTGGATGTCCTGGACATGGTTTTCATGCTTGGTCTTCTAACAATATGATTGAAAACACTATGGCCATTTCAGTTGAAAGAAAGTTTCTGGTTCAGGGATTCCCAGTTCGTTGATTGTTCGTTGATAGGTCCAGAATCCCCGGTTCAACCACTCAGTGCAATCCTACGACCAACGACTCGGTTATCTGCGGTTATCTTACAATCTGAGCCCCCAAGATAGCCTTCAGTTGGTTTATAAACCCCATGAATACCATAGTTATCTATAGTTATATCTACCATAAACCATAGAATTCAGCCACTTATAAACCAACTGAACGCTATCTTGGGGGCCCCACAGTGTAGGCATCTTGCCTTTTTTTCAGGTGAAGAACCATCATTTCTGTGCAGCTTGTAGTGACCGGTCTGCAAGTTGGATCAGGATTTAGCTATAATAATATGATATATATCATATATATATATATATATCATATATATATATATCATATATATATATATATCATATATATATATATAATTCATATCATATATATATGGTATGTCGTATGATCCTTGAATCATCAATCAACTAGGGCATTTGATGTTTTTGATTTGTTGGTCAACATCCACTACTTTCAGCATCAACCGCCAGGGATCTTGAATTGAAAAACTGACTGATGAAACTTGATGAAACCCTTTCCCCTAAATGCCTTCTCAGAAAACCTGCTTAGGCATTGGATCATATTGTCTGGGTAAATTATAATAATTTACTAACCTGAATTAAGGCCATTTGGGGATGATTCCTCTTATTAACCATGATTCCAGTGAGGTCGCAGTGAGGTCGCTATAATTTACCCAGATATTGTTTGATATTGGATCAAATTAGATCTATTCATTTGGGGAGCCGATCTTTGTTTCTTTCCTATTAATGTCATGGGATGGAACTAATCATTCTGCCATTGAGCAGTGTTCAAAACAAAATCCTCTGTCATTCCATTATACACTAACATGGAAAGCCCAGTTTATAGGAATGAATAACATCTACACCTTCTATTATTATCATCCATTGGTTTATAGGAATTTCCAGTTCACGGATGATGACTGCTTGGTGGTATACCTACCCCTCTGAAAAATATGAAAGTCAGCTGGGATGATTAGTCCCAATATATGGAAAAATAAGAAATGTTTGGAACCACCAACCAGATGATAATCACCAACAGCAGAAGCCCCGGAAAACCATCAAACCAACAAGGCTTTTGAACACTGCTTTTGAAGAGCAGCTGTAAAATTCCATCTGTAAAAATGGTTGGTTCCCTATTGTAATGTGGCTAAAACAATTTCATAAACCATCCCCCAGTCATCACCATTTTTATAGGTGCTATGTTTACCCGTATGTTTACCATTCCCAGTCATGGGTGGTAAACTTGGCCTTGTTTTAACCACATCATCAACCATGGACATTCCCATGAAATCACCATGAAATCCCTATTTTTCTTGGCTAAATCACCATTTGTGTTGGTTAAATCACCATGAAATCACACATCAATCCCTTTCATTCCCGTTTCCCCATTGTCTGCACGGTGAATCTCTCAGAAAATCCCCGTGCGGATGTGCCGAAAAACTCTCTGCATCAACCAACAGAGCGCCTCGCCGTCAGAAGTTGGGGAGACTGGGGAGACTGACCACGCCACATTTCTTGGGGTCATAGCACCATATGATGGGGAAATGATGGGGAAATGGTGATTAAATGGTGGTTTAATGGGATTTGTCATGGTGATTAGTTGGAGGTTTAATCAACAAAAACCAGGGATGTTAGTAGATATACCATCTGGTTATGACTAACAGTTCGCCATGGAAAATCACCATGCTATTAAGTTCGGTAAACCATCTATTTCGATTAGGGCCATCTATACCATGGCTATGTTAAAGAGTTAAAGAACCAGAGGGTATATTGTGATCAGGATTCCCAATTTCATGGCTGACTGCACTCTTGGCTTGCTATTTATTGAAACGCTAAAGTCATGCCCAAGTCATGCCCAAGTCGTCATGCCTCCAAGCCTTTCTCCATTGGCACCGATTCGCCGATGGATGGACAAACATGTCCTCAATAAATCCCCCAAGTAGACACCACAGCAGAACACTGAGTAAGTAAGTGGATAAGAACCATATTATACCCCAGCTACACCCCTAGTTTTTTATGGAATATATGTGTATATATATATATATCGTTTTTCCCGGTCATTATATATGGAATATATTTATATATAATTATATATATATGGCTTATACACCACTTACTAAGTGAAATGTTCAATAAACATCAGAGGTCCCTGGCGTCTTGCGAGGCACCACTTCTTGCGTCAACGCACCGGGCATCTATGAATGTTTTCTCTGCGGGCACGACGTTACGTGTTGCCATCATGAAAATTCTTCCCAACTTCCCATGTGTTGATGGTTAAAGCATCTTAAAACCTCTGTAAAATCCATATGTTGATGGCTAAAACATCTTAAAAACTCTGTAAAATGGCAAATGACTCTTAAATCCCATGAAAGTTGCGGAAATCCCCGGACACCGCCAGCTTCGGGAACAACCAACACCACTGGCGCCTCGCGACTCCAGCGCAGACGCTTCCTCCACCCGCGAATGCGAAATCGTCATACTCTTTTCCCCGTCGAAGTCGGATCTGGCGGCGATGAAATGCGATGAAATGCGGGGGGGTTCACCAACTATGAGGATGTCTTCACGGGCTGTTTGAATGGGAAGTATACCAACTATGGTTGGGATATATAATAGGAATAGTTATACCAATTATAGACATTATAAGAATTATACTATATAGGATTCATAATGTTTGAATGGGATACCAATCATTAATGGGATATAAAAACCGATGGAATGATGTCACCCCCAAGGAACACCAGAATAAAATGCCCGACATTAATAAGTTCCCGCCCGTTCTTCTTGGACTCCCTTGGAGAAAAAATCACAAGCGCAAGAAGTCGGGTCTTACTTCCCAAAAAATATCCACCTCTTAGCAACCTTCACTGCAGTTCACAAGCAGGGTAATTACCATTTTTTCATTTGGATTGATCAGTATGATTTGGGCAAAGAAGCCTCGAAGCCTCGACCCTCCACTGCCAAAAAAATGTCGTTCTAAGCAGATAGGTGGGAAAAACTCAGCACTAGGCCCACCGACACCAGAAACGTTTTTGGAATTTTGGAACTCGAAAAAAAAAGAAAACTACAAAAAAAAACAACGAGATTTCAAGA